TTTCCTCCTGTCCCACTATCATGCTCAGTCCCCACCAGTGTTTCAGCAATTCCTCTTTGTTACATTACCCTTGATCATGCCCTACCAGGCCTCCCACACCCACCTCACCACTGATTTGAATCACTTGTTATTCCCTTGTCCCTGAGTTTGTTAACACCACTTCCTTTTTCAAGGATAGTTATGTCCTTTTAGAAATTTACTTAGGAAACCTTACTGCATCTACCCTACAGTCCTGATCCTTATCCTTCACACTTTATTTTTATTCTTACAACTCCAAAAACATTGAAGAGGAATACAATTAGAGACCCTAGAGTATGCCCAGACAGCTGTCTTGATGTGGTGCAAATCAAAAAGCACAGGCTTCTTTGGGTAAGAGTTACAGAGACAAAAACACCACTTTGAGAAATGTATCAATGGAGATAGACGCTATATCAAGAAATAAAAACGTCTTATTTTCATATTTTTTAATAAGTGTTTCTATGATTTTGACTTATACTTGTATGTGGGTTTGTCTTGTATACATATATGATATGTAAATATCATATATTTATGATAGGAAAAAAGAGGGGCTGATACCAAGGGCTCAATAGAAAGTGAATGTCTAGAAAATAATGATGCACATGTGTTACGCATGCATGCTCAAGTACTTATGCATGTACATCTGAACACATGCACACACACAATCACACAAAGGGATCTGTCAAAAGTTCATGAGAAAAGTCCATTTTCTTTCCATTTAATTTTCCCTTGAACTTAAAATTTATTTTAATCTATCCTATTCTTTAATATGTCTTACTCTACTTGCCTACACATCATCTCTTAAAAATAATTTATTTTTGTTGTTGTTCTTGAGAGTATACACAATAAGAGCATCAATTCAAGTTTGAATGCGTACATTTCACAGACATTGACCATTTCCTTAGTGTGATGTTCCCATTAAGTCATTCTCTCCCTGTGAAGATGCCCTCATTGCCCTCTAAAGTTCCTGTGCGACCTTTCTAGTTGCTCTTGTCAGTTTGGTCACTCACAGATGGATGGAAAAAGAGCTTGCTACTCAATGCAGACATTTTTTACTACCCAAACTACACTTGTCTTTGGTTTTAAGAAGATTTCAAGGGAAATTTCTGTTAAAATTTCAGAGTATGTCCTGGCAGCCTACTCATAATCTAATGGGTTTTGTCATATACACATATTTTAAACTTTTGTTAAGTATACTTTATTTTTTATTTTTCTGTTAGTGTTAGTCTTTTTTTTTAAAATGAATTTATTGGGGCTCATACAATTCATCACAATACATAGATCAATTGTGTAAAGCACATCTATACATTTGTTGCCCTCATTATTCCC